GTTTCTGTAGGGAAGCAAAATACTGTCATTTGGATGTATCGCACATCATCACTTAGCATCAATTTATCATCAGGAACATAATGACCTGGAACATATTAAAGGACAGATGGATCAAAGTAAAATAAAAAGCACTGCTTGGAATGGAAATTGATGAGCACATTTAACAGATTCACTCAAATCACTGCTTATCTCATAGACAAACTGACACACATTCAACAGAAATGTGAGTTACATAATCATGGCTTGGCATCTTTTTGTAAATAAGTTCCCAACAAAGACAACCGTTGCTGTTGAAGTTCCAATCATTATTTTATTCAGGTTTGTTTTTTCTTCCTTTTTTTCAAACTTTTACACTGTATTACATAAATCATAAATCTCTGAAGCATTGTTTGGACCTTAGGAAATACAGCCAGGTCCATGCACAGAGAGGTACATTGCATTGCATTGTATTGCAGCCCTGGAGTCTTAGGTTCAAATACAACCAGGAACCTGTTAATGTGGCATTTATATCATTTATTTGTGTAGGTTATCCCTACATTTTTCCATATCAAGCTCCAAAATATATTGTTATAAAGTGGTTTCAATTGAGCCTGATGTTATACCACATGACAATTGCAGACACACCAACTGCGCCACTGGAGCAGAGACTAACGTGTAAGGTGACAGAGCAAATTCTAATGAACATGGCCATTTCAACACACGTTAGGGAGACATTTTTTGACAGTTACCAACATCAAGAAACCCGCCCTGAGAAATGCCATGAAGATATTGCAGGAATGCATGTATGTAGACATGAAATTACTACAAAGAGCCTGCAGACGATTAGCAGCACTGAAATGTAACAAATATCTAAAATAGACTACAAATATTTTATTTAAAAATAAGCCACTTTTTATCATTCAGTTAAAGTAGTATTAAACTCTCACATTTTTTTCAATAAGGAATCCAGACCAAACAATTATACATTGCCTAGCAAAATATTCCTTTACATTTTTGCACAATTTACAATCATCATGTTTCTGAATAGCTGGCTCCAACTTTTTCAGCTCTGCTTCCCTGAACTTCTTGTTGAGTATAAGATCACAAGGGACAGAGAAGTCTCCAGCAGCTGTCCATTTCCTAGCTTGGAGAAGGGAGGAGTAAGGGAGTGGCTTGCCTTGCTGTGTCTGCAAGTTTGTGGATAGAGCTTACTAGCACATGAGGTTGGGCCCATAGAGACCTTGCAAAGGAAAGGAGCCACCCTAAAACAGGATATCAGTGCCATTATTCAGGGGACCAGCTGATTCTGTAGGACGCTAAAACCTTTAAACATCAAGAAGCAGCATCCATTGTCAGTTTTTCAATCAGCATTTGAAATAGCCCAAAAACCTTTTGACTTTAATATGTAAAGGATGTGCCCCAATAGCCAAATGCACATCCAGAATTGCTGCTTTATAGCATCAATAAAGCCTAATATTATAGAACCATTTTTCAAACAGCATATAGCTGTTTTGGGCTTTTTGGCTATTCTCCACGCAGTGTATGGAAACCATGGCATCTGTGGCATAGGGCTTGGAATATAGAAGCAACTGTATCTATACACTGCACTGATGATAGCTTAAAACAGTTGTGTATAAGAACAGATGAAATTAGGGCAGAAGCGCTACTACCATGCAGTGACTTTTGTAAAAATAAAAATAGGAATTGAGGCAAATGACAACTTACCAAGGAGTGACTGATGATGTGATATCATTGACGAGGGGTAGATTGATGGGAATCCTCCAATAATAGGAATGTTGTGGACTCTCTTATATGTGTGAACAGATATGGGGGAAGGCGAGGAGGTGTATGGGTTGGTCACTGCTGTTGGGGCTGGAGAGGGCTCAATGGCAGTGAAAACCTGAGTCCAAGTGCTGTGTGTTGCTGGGGTCCTAAATGGAAGGGGATCGCTGGTTGTGGCAGGCACAAATGGATGAATGGCTGATTGACACTGTCGGGACTGAGAGAGGTATGGCCCGGATGGTGTGGAGTGTATGGCTGTCTGTGGATGTTCTGTCGGCGGCCCAAAATGGACGGTCAGTGCGGTCATGGACGCCGAATGGATCGGAGGTGGGTGAGTAGGGAACCCAAGATGACGCCTAGGGTGTCGAGCAGTGTGTCAGAGGAGCACTGGGCGGAGGAAGACACACCGCTCACAGGCATGCGGCAAGTGTCAGAGCTGGTACTGTTGACGACTGCCTGGAAATGGACACTGCGGGCGGGAGAGCCGGGAGGGCCGGTGAGAGTGGTGAGACTCCAAACGCTCGAGGGCACGAGCGGGACGCCCAAAACAACGAGCGGTGTGTCGGGGAAGAAACGGGCAGAGGCGAACAGGCAATCTGTGGCACAGAGCGAGGGTGTAACAGGATACGATGCGGCTACGCGTTTCGAAGAGCTCGTCTTCTTTTTTAAGCCAGAAAGTGAGGGCTAAAACAGTTGTGTGCAGTTTGGAATAATTGGTTTTGGAATAGCTATAATAATAGGCACTATTCCCACTATGTACCAGCAATGCAGTTGACCATTGGGGCGTAAATCAATGATTTGTATAACTCCACCCACTGTCTTAAAATGGGGAATAATTCTCTTATTTTTGGGATATGTGATGGTATGGGACATGTGAATGCCTTCTGTTATAGGAAGGCTCTACAGTGCTATGTGCTGACTCGGTTGGAGGTATTTTTAATTCTTTTAGTCTCTGCTCAAAATAACCCTAACCATTATGCATTCTATTTATAAAGGATGAAATATTATTTCCTATATTTGCAAATATTGTATGTATGCATGTCTAACTGAGAGTTAGTGCACAGTAGGAGTTAACAGGTAATATACCTATGAAATAAATAAACTGGTACCAGTGAGCATGTATAACACCACTTTGATAATGTGAGATGTAAGCTTCTGAAACATCTTTAGGTTTTGGTGACTTTTATGTACATGGGGCTTAGAGCCTAATGCAGAGAATGTGATTTTCGATTAAATGAAAGGCCTTCATGAAGGGCCCTCCTACTATACAGTTCCAAACATTAATATTACTGTTTTTTTAACAGCCCTTATGTTACAAGAACTGATTGCCTATTTCCTTCAATCACCACAAAATAGACACCGTAAAATATAAAGCCAACTTGACATTAAAGAATTCTTCATTGCATACAATCAGTCTGTTTTATAATATGCTCAACATTTTATTTTCTACTTGAAATAAAATACATAACGTGGAAATGAGATCAAGGCTGCATTGATAAATGTTTGAATTTTTAATTTTTTTCTGCCATGGTCTCTAAAATAGAACTGTTTAATCAAAGGCTCATACCAGCTCAGCCCTTGATAATGTGTCCAGATCTATTCATAATTTTCTGCTTTGAATTGTTAGTGAGCAATCGTTGTAGCTCACATTCTTGCGCGCGCTGGCACAGAAAATAAACATGTTTGTATGATATTTTAAATAATGTATCCACTTAGCTCAGCAATTCATTATGTGAATGATAATGAGAGATTCTTATTTTCCTAAGATGTGAATATATTTGCAGCAGCATGGGGTAAAACCCAAATCATTAAAATGCAAACACCTTAGCTGACTGGCAAGACAGTTTATAGAAACCAGGGTTTTGTGTTGCAAATAAAGTCACATATTACATCCATATTAGTCATTACTGGTGTCATTTTAATGAAATCATTACTGATTTTAAATGCTTGAATTTTTAATCAGAAAATGTAATATATTCAATAATTAAACCATTGTGTAGATATACATGTGTCATATGATTTTTTTCTAGCAATGCTTAGTCAAAGAGTACACTGCATTGGAGTGATTGCTTGATCAACTATGTCCATAAATTGTCATATTAAGTGACCCCCTTTGACTAAAAATCACATCAGCATACAGCTCTGAAGGCTGATATGAAATCATCTTACATTCATTAGCTAAACAAGCAAATTTAAATTTTACTTACAATTTCTTTTTTCTACCTCCTGGCCCACTTTGGCACACATTATGTAATCGTGCCCAATCGTTGCATCTTGGGATGGTTACATCAGCAGAGCATTGCTGGAAAATCTCATCTGTAATCTCAGGAGATCTCAGGAAAAGGCATTTTGCTCCCCTGAGATAATGTGCGTGGTCACATGTTCTAGTCACATGTGCCAGATTTCCAGGAAGTAAAGGGAGATATAATAACCTGCCCATAATTAAAATTGCCCTCTGGGAAGGAAAAGAGAAAAGTATGCAAAGAATAAAAAGCTGGCAATTATCTAGAAGCATGTGTTTGTAGATTGTCATTACTAAACATTTCTAAAGGTGCCTTTTTTGTTATATATGGGTAAAGTTCCTCTTAAATACAATAACTGTCCTTTCAGATTTGTTGTGTCAAGAGATTTATTTTAGTATGTTTAACAGTCATACCTCATAGATTCCCAAATAATAGTTAGGATGCAAGGGCCAGTAATAATTGTTCTCTGCCTATCTGTCATAGACCCCAAACACAAAATAGGAGATGCACAGCCATATTTACATTTCAGAAAACCTGGTGACCTAAACAACCACTATTTCTTTCTCCCGTTTACACGGATGAACTGGCCATTAGGGCAGATGAAATTAATGTACTGGGCCAGTACTTGTTGAAAAATCTTGTATGCCGTTTTTTTCTCTATTGATGCAGTGTCACCTTTTAATTGAACTAAATTGATTCCTTCAAAACATGTTGAAACATAAATATGTTAAGGCTCCTTAGAGCGGGCATTTTCCAACCGATCTGCAGCTCAGTTTCAGTAAAGTCTCTAAGACTAAAGGTGCTAAATGACATCTAATGTATGTTTTAGCATTTTACTGTAGACACTGCAAAACATAGCAGTTCATTAAACAATTATACTCTGTCTGTATAATTGTAGCCAATGTAGTGGCTTTATACTAGGCCATTTTACTGTTGGGATAAAGTGTGCCAAGATGTTGTACCTTCTCTGTAGAAAACATTTTATTACCTAGTTAGAAAATAGAAAGTGCTGGTGTTAAAGTGTTTAGCATGTGTGAAAAAGTATGTCAGATTATGTAAAATATTCCCAAAGAACTGCAGAAATTCAGAGTTGTCCATAGGGCAACTATAAATTATACACTCCACCAAGAAGGTATTTATGAAAAAGTGACAAGAAGAAATCCACTCCCAAAAAAGTATATCAAATCCTTTATGGGTTTTGTCAAAGGCCATGTGTAAAATACCAGAAACGTGGTAAAGCAGTGAATTATGGCAGTGGCGGAATCATGTTGGTTAAACTTTTAATCAACAGTGACCAGGAGACTGGGAAGCTTGTTAGGGTTGAGAGCAAGAAGGGTAGAGTCAAATACAGAGCAAACAAATTGCCCCTGTCTGCAAGAGATCTGGAATTCACCTTCCAGCAGGACAATTACCCTAAAACACACTGCCACAGCTAAACAGCCATGTTCTAAATCAAGAATCTGCATGTCCTAGAAGCTATCTATTGCAGTCAAAATTCAAGCTGTACACGTACCTGGCAGTTACAGGTATAGAGGCATTCTTCCACCAGAATGGCCACCTCCACACAGAGATACAGTGAAGAACAAGGTATGGTAAGTCAGTATTGGGGATAAATTCATCAGCAGGAAGCCTACATGTAATACTGTTAACTGGTTATTTGTTTTTCTGACTACAGCTTCTACAATCTAGTTCTTTTTTAACCCATGTATGACCAGAGGTCTTTAAAGCCTAGATACCAAGACCACATTAAGAGGTACCTGCTCACTTGATAATAACTCTATGATTCATAGCAGGATATGTCTGAATTAGGAGAAAAATGTTCAGCCCCTATGATGCGATAGTGTTTCCTCTGCTCTTGCCTGCACCAGCTTTTCTTATAATGAGCATGGTTGTTTCTCATGAAGGTCCTTGTATTGCAATTTTTCAGGTATTGCTATCTCTTTAGGAAGGAGAACAGTGAACAGAACAGCAGTGACATCACCAAATGTCACTCTAAATATTGTGAGACTAGTAGTCAGAGGTACAGTGCTTAATATAATCTCATACTGCAAATATACAGCTAACTGGCTTTGGGCACAGGAAGTGCCTATGTAATACATAGGAATATTTTTCAGGGCACCACTTAGTCACGTTTAACGCCGGTTGATGTTTCTTATAACATATCAAATTTACAATTTTTTTAGTTTAGGTCCACGTTAAGTAAATTGGTGAGAGAAGCGTTTATTCAACGCTTCTTCTGGGATCCCCTGAAGGAAGAGCTTTCTGGTTTCAATTAACCAGCCATCTGGTAACCCTTTATCTGAATTTTGGAACTGCCTGTCCCAACTAGGAAGCTTCATTCCTCTATTTTCTTTCTGGTGACAACTGTCATCAAAACAGAAAGTGCTGAGGGTAAGATTTCCAGTGAAATATGTGTAAGAGAGGATATCTTCTTGATGCTCTGGAACAAGAAATGAAGGAGAATCTCCCCAAAGGGACACACATTGAGAAAAAACAATCTGACTGGGTTTGGAACTCTTACCTGTTGTACCAAAACTAGAACAAATGGCTATACATACTCTCTATGACTTTGGTTGAGGTAGGTAATAATACATCATCCACTAAATCAGCATCTTACTTTGCCTTAGTGCTTTCTGTCCCAGCACTCCATCCTCAGGGACTCTGGGTTCTAACAGGGTTACTTACAAAAGGGGGAAGAGTTTGGAGAAGGCAGGAGAAGTGAACAATCTAGGCCAAAATAGCTGATTTGGAAAAATTATCCAATTCAGCTCACTTTCCAGTTTAGCTATTTTGTCCTAGATTGTTCACTTCTCCTGCCTTATCCAAAATCGTCATCCTTTTGTGAATAACCCTGTAGGTCAATTCTCACCTATGCTGATTGGCTATGAGAAAAGGGGTGTTTGCATCCAAACCCTCCCAGATTGGTGCTCCTATAAGAAGCATGCAACAGGACATCTCCAAAAAGATTTGGTGAAATCCTAACTCACTTAAATGGGGAAAAGGGGGAATGGGTAGAAACGGTGTTTAAAAGAAGAATGCCACACCCCTGGTTTTATGTTGCAAAAAGAGGGTATTTTGGAGATTGGGGTTTTTTAGGCACTTGAGACAATAGTTTAATATAAAAATTAGAACTTTTATTCAATACATGATTAAAAAGACGAGCTCATAGTTATAAAAAGGAGAGAAAAAGCCGATTCAAGGAGAACACCAACAAGCTCCACCAGAATCCAGAATTATGACTAATTGTAGTCACATAAATATATTATTAGATTCATGCAAACAGATTTTTATTGTAGGTCGCACCCCCTACATTCAGGTTGGCATACCCTAGTTGACTAAACAGCCGAGAAGTTTAATCATAGTATTTGACATCGAATCAAGATGGAACAAAGGATATTATTGGGTGTTTGCGACCATCCATTACCTCTAATTGTATTTGGTATGGCCTTTGGAAAAAGGTGATTGTTAGATACAGTTGGTTCAAGGTTGCTATCCTAACAATGGTTTATAGTCTCTTTGTCGAGTCAACTGGCCATGTCAACCATTAACAGTCACTAGTGCGTTGCTGCATATTATATTGTATACAAAGTCTCAAAGAGAGGTATAATCTCACAGTTTTTTTAATTCAGGAGATTGGGACTGGTGGAGTAGCGACGACGCGTTTCGCGTGTTGCCTCGCTTCCTCAGGTCTGAGGGTGTTCTAAATTAAATTAAAAAAACAATCATATAAGTCAACTGGTTAATATCTAATTAGAGATGGTGTCAGTAGATATAATTACATAGTGAGGGAATCAAATGCACCCTAATGTCCAAAGTGTATCATCCAACAATTACATAATCATTAGTCGGTAACAACGATTAATCAGCAGAGACAGAAAAAATGCCAGACAAATGAGAATAATGATCAGCAAAAGGCAACAACCAAACAAGAAGGCAATGTGCACCTACAGAGGCCATAACTAGGCTCACATATAATTTATATTTTATATATGAATGTAAAACACCCAATAATATCCTTTGTTCCATCTTGATTCGATGTCAAATACTATGATTAAACTTCTCGGCTGTTTAGTCAACTAGGATATGCCAACCAGAATGTAGGGGGTGCGACCTACAATAAAAATCTGTTTGCATGAATCTAATAATATATTTATGTGACTACAATTAGTCATAATTCAGGATTCTGGTGGAGCTTGTTGTTGTTCTCCTTGAATCGGCTTTTTCTCTCCTTTTTATAAATATGAGCTCGTCTTTTTAATCATGTATTGAATAAAAGTTCTAATTTTTATATTAAACTATTGTCTCGAGTGCCTAAAAAACCCCAATCTCCAAAATACCCTCTTTTTGCAACACAAAATCCTAAATCACAAAAATCATAACACCCTCCTGCAGAGACTCCATAAACATGTTATTCCATGGTAGTATATTGTAGTTGTTGCCACGTAAAGGATATTTTGCATCCAGACAATGTCTAATGGATTATTTTGCAGGTTAATTATGAATAATATATAATCTTTCTAGCAGTCACTTTTACAGCGGTCCATGAAAATCAGCAACAGATGGCAAACAGCCTTTCCAATAACTTATTCATGCTTACTCTTTTTTTGTACAGTATCTTTTCAATAGTAATTATGTTCTCTATTTGTAAACAGGGTCTATTTTTAATTAAAACTTATAAGGCTTTTTGTCTACAGAGAACACTTTCTTCCAGAACATTTCAATGTGACAAAATGTGCACATTTAAAAAAAATGTAAGGTTGTTATTTAGCACAATTTAATTTTACAGCTTTTCACAATGGGTTACTTATTGTGGTTAAAAGATTGTTCCTTAAGCCTGCAACAAATGCTATAATTTGTTTGTATGATCTCCTTTACATTTACCAACAACTATTTAGAGTGGGGACTCCGGATATATAATGGTTAGATTGTTTAGGTAGGCTATCTACCACTATATATAGGTGTTGGTGAATCTAAGGGAGACTTGCAGACTTCATAAAATCAGATTGTAAAGTTTTTGGCCAGATTTATGAAGAATTCAAGGCCAATGTGATACATTTTAGATGGTATATGAGTGTGTGTGATGTGTAATTACTTGTAATCCTTCTATATGAAAACTCACCAGCACTGCACATCAACTGTTGATATAAACCATGCTTGCCTTTAGGGTGCCATCACTGGCTGCTCAAGTTGGAACAAAGGGGATGAGTAGGAATGACTATCAAAAATCCATTTTGTGGCCTCCTCATTTTGCAGATCTGAAAGCACACAAAAGTCAGGCTGATTTAATTGCATTAAGTATTATATTTGCAGCCTTATAACAAGGGTGCCTAATGCTAGTGGCTAGTAAAGACACTCCACTGTTCTCCTGATTTTAAATATTGTAAATGTAGGTGAATAAAAAAATATATAAAAGAAGGATTACATGCAGTTATAACTAGCAAAGCTTAACATTTAGGGAGGAGCTCAGGTTCCCTGAGGTCTGAACCTGAGCTCCTCCAAATAAGGAAGCGCCATGGGCACATGCATTCTCTGCCCCGCAGCTGCATGTAAACAAAGGGATGGATGTTTGTGTTGATGTAATTTACCTAATATGGCCACATAGCCTTATAAGTTAAATGTCCTTTACCAAATGTAGGCATGTAGCCATAGAAGGTCAATTACGTCATTGCAAGGCAAAACTTTTGCTTACATCAAGCTGTAGGCAGGGAACTCCGCACCAACAGCTGATTGGGTAGCACCTGGACCGGGTTTGGTTTGAACTTTAGCCCATCCATAATTAATGTATGCTTTAGTAATTATTTGTCGTTTTGTATAGAGTAGGGGAGAGATAGAACCCCTATTAGGTTTTACAGCTATCTGGGGCTCCGTTAGAGATTTACCCTTACTTTCTGTTCTGGGTAAAACCTTTTACTAGGTAGGAAGTATGAGGAAATCTGCAACAGGAAAACAGACAACAATAACAATTACTTCTGTCTGTGTTGCAGTTCCTTTACTTTTTGTCTGGGG